ATCTGTAAGCACTGCTGTGGCCCAAGTACAGCCTCTCCATGGCCTGCCAGTTAAGAATCCCACTTCTAGAGGGATGGTTGTACGAGTCTGACACTGAAATGAGTTGGTTGCAGCAGAGCCATTCTTTTTGCTTTTGTATTTTAAATTCCCACACCAAGGCTGAGATTCAGGGCATGCCTCTGGGCAATTTATCTACCCAAGCTTTTGAAAAGATTTGCTAGGTACTGAGGGATGCCTTTAATTTTCTCTCCTGCAGTCTCACCAGATTTGCCTGCTTCATTAGGTAGATTGGTGGTTGATCTGAGCTGGATCTTTTAATTTGTATGAGTTTTAAATCACAAAGCCCTCCATAGATAGGAACTGTACTGCAACTCAAGAGGTATAAATAAAAGAAATGCGGTGCAGTGGAAGACACTGTGATCTCATTCTCCTTGGCTAGCACATGAGTTGTTGCTGCTCATTTCCTTTGTTTTATTTAAAAGAAAAATAGTCCCTAGAGCACCACAATCTTGTCTGCATAGTGGAGAGGCAAAGTAGGTAACATGCTGTTAAAAAAACCCATTTTTTTTAATGCTGATTCATATTGAGGGCTGAATTGTCACAGATAGGCAAAGTGCTGAACCAGGAGGTGATGTGCAGAGACACTGGCACAAGAGGGACGGTGACCTCTTAGAACCTGCCTGCATTGAAGAATACAGCCACTTTAAGATGTACAGCATACAACCCAGAAAGCCTCACCTCCGTCTATCCCTGCTATCTCCCTGCACTGCCTGATCATTCCCTCCTGCCCTCCCAGGAACGTACAGTCCCAGGATCATTCCTAGCACATTTGGGTCCTACCCATATAAGCTGAGCAACAGGGAAGTTTCTTCATTCTGTCTCATTCCCACCTACAAGAGCAGTATCTAGCAGAATAGAGGATGGATGGAGGATAGAGATTAGCTTTGCCATTGTGTATATCCCTGCACAGTGACAAACAATCTTTGGGAAGAAAAGAGGAAGGAGGGCTGCTTGATTGTTCTCCTTTTAGGGATAGATTCCAACTCCAACCACAGTTCCTGGAAAGACCCTATTGAGCAATTTCCTTGTGGGCCCATTACTGTGAAATATCAGAGAAACTTTGGAGTTGTGGGTATACCAGGCTATTAACAACTGTGGTAATTGGAATGTTATTTCCATTTAAAACTTTAATGTATTTTAAAGTCGGTTTCATAAATCTACCAAATACATTGCAGCTAACGTGTTTTTTTCCTGACATTAAATCAAAGGAGCTAGTAAAAACTTGTCCGTCTTATGAAAAGTTAATCAATTTTCAATACAAAAGTAGACAAAGGGAAATTTCCATCTTTAGAAGATTGATCTTGGAAGTTATGTTTGATCTCACTTTTATTGAACATTTTTACTTGCTAGGTGACGGGTCATTTTTTTAGCATTATTACTTTAAATTGCTTTTAATACAATGGGCCAAGACTAGAATTGTAAATAAAAGAAAAAGCCTCTGGCCAAGAGCAAAAAGATTTTCTTGCTCTGCAGATTCTGTGTTTCAGCAGTTTTCTTTATACTCTTGTAAATTCAAAGATCCTATCGTTTTCATTATGCTTAATTTTGACTTTGATTCTTTGCTAACTTAGCTATTTGACTTCTGGAAGCCTTCTCCATTTTTAGAATAGAAAATGTAAAACGCCTATATATATTCTAAAGAAATATCTGTCAGAGAGAAAACATATGTTGAGAAAGAAGTGTATATTCAATATGACTCTGCCCGCTGCCCACACTAGACATAAAGATGAATAATACAATTTTGCCTTACCTACTAGGGCTACATGATCTATTTTGTGGCTATATTTGGAATCTGTTTTTCTTTCCTTTTCATTTTTCCAAGTTGAATATTTATGTTTTGATACACTTTCAAGGAGATATTATTTCTTTAGAGAAAACATGTCCAACTCTGCTCTTGTTACACAGTGTGCTCTTGGGGAGATGCTTAGAGTCATCTGATATTTCACTGGGTTTTGTTAAAGAGAGTTTGTGCAGTTTTTCTGCTTTATTTTATTGTTTTTTGAGATTAGTAATGTACACAGATTAGCAATAACATTGCTGTAATGACTAAGAATAGACTTAACAGTATCTCACATGCAAAGACTGCTGCCTCAATACAGGATTCCAACTTAACCCTCACCCGTTCTCATGAAACCGTAACTGTTGTTGTTCTCATGGGGTAACTTGTTACCCTGCAATTCAACATGACTGTTGGACTCATGGCGTATCTTGTTACCCCACCTGCATGAACAAAATGGAACCAGTGACAACAGTATAAAGGTACCAAAAACTATTTATTAAACACACAGATTATTTGACAAAGTATATATTAGGGGTGTGCAAAGCAGGCCTATTGGATTCAGATTCAGCCTAAATCAGGAACAGTGATTCAATTAGTTGATTCAGATCACTGTCCCCAATTCGATTCGGCCGAATCCGAATCTGAAGATTCGATGTTGATTCAGAGAATCAGTGATTCGGACATACACGCAACTTTAAATGTTTTTCTACATACCTCAAGGTACCAGTGCGGCTTGTGGACGCTGTGATGCTGGGGCACGTGGAGCATCCCACAGGAGTGTAGGACCATAAGTACTTCTAGTCGACTTATGAGTCTGCCAGGGAACATGCTGGGGGGGCCCACATCCTCCCCCCAGCTCAGCGATTGGCCATGGGGAGACCCTGGGTGCCCCCTTCAGACCCAGAAGGCACCAGTCACTGAGAAAGGGAGGGGTGCGGGGGAGCCCCCTGCGCACTCCCTGGCAGACCCAGGAGTGAACTGGAAGTGCTTCGGGTCCACTTCCAGGTCTGCTGCTGAGTGCACTGGGGACCCCCCCACCCCACCCCCGCTCCTGTGGGACACTCCATCTGCCCCACCATCGCAGCATTCACGAGCCCCTGCTACCTACAGGTATATGGAAAAAACAGTTACAGCTAGATCTATGTCTGAATCGCCAAATCTTTCCAAATCTCTCTGAGTCAAATTGGAGGGTTCTGTTTGGATTCAGAGAGATTAAAGGGTCCTCTGATTCAATTCGGAAATTTGGCCACTGAACTGGGTTGAATCTCTGCCGAATCAAATCAGAGACCAAAGCTTCATACAGCCCTCATATATATGATGATTTGAACCAAAAATATTATTTAACCAGAACTATGAACAAAATTTAAACTTTTTTTAGCGTTTCAAAACATGAATGAACAATTTGTTAATTCTGCTGTTCACACTGTTTTAAAACTAACAGTTACTTCCCAAAACATTTCCTAACTGTTTTAACTAAATATTGCATTCCTCACAAAGTAGCAGTGATGTACTGTGGTGCACACAAAAAACAGTTTACAATCTTCACATCATTTCTGGGTTTTGCAGTCATCTGTCCTTAGACCAAAAGCACAATGTTCACTCATGCTTGCAGAAGGTTCTCCTGGGGTGCATTGTGGCAATTTGTAATTTAGAGCAGTCATACCAAACTTGACGAACTTAGACAGATTACGTGTATACATCTTTCTTTGTTTTATTTGTCCATTGATCAACTGTTCTCCAGGCTCCTGGGAAAAAAAAGTGCCGTCTTCTTAAATGTGATCTTTGCTTCCAGTTTGCATTGTGGCCTAGCCAAATGATGGGGCTGGCAATGGCAGCCACATCCAGCATATTGAAAAATTGTCATTGGCCACCTGTTGATGTTCCATCTGCAGGTGGTCATATGGACTGTGCACAAGGTTATCCACCCCACCCTTGTTTTTATTGTAGTCATGGACGATGCCTGGCTTTTTTTTTGCTCTCCATCCACTGACAGATCATGTTGCATGCTTGACAGCAACAGCACAACTTTGGGCTTCATTGGAACATAGGAAACTAGGGTGAGTTCCCCACCAAAAGCAAAAATGAATGAAAAAGTTTCCTTTCTTCAATTTGCTTGAATTTTGTTTGGGATATTGGCCTTATTTTTCCAAATTGTACCCAAATAGATCAAGTCCTGCTGTAGTAGTCTTTCTGCCAGGTCAGTACTTGTGAATAAATTGTCACCCACAATATCGCTTCCTGTCTTGTACCAGGGATTAACCAGTTTCTCAGTGACCTGGGTACCAAAATTACCTTGGCATGGAGCTTCTAGTTGCTTGCCCAGGTAGATGTCTCCAAACAGGGGGAATGATGTTGCTGCATCACAGCACCACCAAATTTTCAAGCCATATTTGACAGGCTTTCTGGGCATATACTGTCTGAAGGGACAGTGACCCTTGAACGCAATGAGCTGCTCATCAACTGTGAGGTGTATTCCTGAAGTATTGGAAGATTCATCTCTTTTCCCTTGGATTTTACTCTTCCTCTTGGCTCCACATATCTCCCTTTCCTGGCTGTCCAGTAAGTTAGATTCAAAAGAAGATGGGTAGAACAGTTTGGTTAATGCCTGACATTTACAGGCGTACCCTAAGCAATCCTATTTTGCCATGATACATGTGTACCTAATGAGCATGCTCAGTAAGCACACACAGACTTGGATCACCAATTGTGTAAGTGCCAAAAATTGTAGTTACACAGCTTCATATGTATAATTTAGTTGTATAAAGGGAAATAGGATTTAGCCCCAAAAACATTAACTTCATATTCCGTGGACTCCTTGGAACATATTAACTTCCTACAGTCTCTAGGGTCAAAACCTCTACTGCTAAGAAAGAAATATCTATGGCCACAGAGATCCATATTCTATTCCCTGGCTAAGAAGTTCACCCCCAACCATATATTCACAGCCATGTATTCCCTCTTAAGTTACGCAGGATAGCTCTAGTAAAGGCAATCCCTAGGGCTGTGCGAAGCTTTGGGTGGTGATTTGATTTCGGAGAGATTCAGCCCGATTCGGTGGCCAAATCTCTGAATCCAAATAAATTGTTGTGATGGTCATTTTTTCTTTAAAAAATTACAAATGGTTACAACTTTTTATAAACGTATATTTCTCTTCCCACAGCTAGTGAAAACAGATGATCTAGAAGATGATTTCTTGGGATGTACGCTAGAAGATCTTCTCCGATTTGATGATTACAATAATGATGGTTACTTAACCCTGCAAGAACTTTATACTGCATTCCGTAAGTCATGACACACTTTGGTTTTCTTTGCAATGATAAAATGTGGGGTATAGCGCAGGTGTTAAAATTTATGGATGCATTTCGGGACAGTAGTCTCTCTAGACATTTGTTTAAGAAATCGGGGGGGCGGGGAAGGGGGGAGCATTAACTTAACATGATAGGGTTTTGTTTCTATCTTTGGTGTTGGTTTGCTCTAAAGGAAATCATTGTGAACGTTACGGATATGTCAAGGGGTTGAAAGGAATGGAATTGTGTTCTTGTGACTCTCATTGTACTTTTACTAACATCATTGGAAAGATACTGTTTGATTAATGGCTAGACACATAGTTCATGAGTACCTTGGATAAACATATAATCTTGGCGCTATAAGTTAATTTAGCAGTGAAAAAAAAGTTTTTTCCTGAATCTCCTGCCTTGGAATCATGACTTACACATTTTATTTCTGTTTTGGGGAATGAATTGCTCTGCAATATTAAGAGAAATCTGTTTGTTTAACCATTTGCAACATGAGTATAGGTGATGAATCAACAAGGTGCTTAAGCAGGGTGTAACTTTGAGCTCTTAAATGCTCCCTTCTGACTTCATTATTATTATCTACGCACTTAAGTTATGTGTGATCAAAAGTACTTTGCTGAATCAAAGACATGCATTCTTCCCATGGATGTTATAATAGTTCATTATTGCTTGTAAAGCCTTTTGAGATACTCATAAAAAAACCTTTATGCAAGCATAAAAAGCATTATTTTAGTAGAAATCCAGAATGGTGATCTTCAAAGAGCCTGTGACATGGTACATCATAGAGATAAATTGCTCAAAGAATGATTGCAAGTATTTGTGGACCTTATCAACCCAAGGAAATGACTGATATCAGCACTGGTGCCCATTTCCAACACAGTTTTTAACCTGTGCCTTAAACATTTTGAAGATAAAAAGAACTATTTCAGCGAGTGCTTCTGCCTCTTGATACCTCTTCATAAAGTGCAGAGAGGCAAAGTAGGCTCAATAGTGCCATCTTTACACTTGTTAAACGTAGTACCTTATCCCATGAGTAATCCCAAACTGATTTTCTATGCTTAATCCCATGAGTAATCCTAAACTGAGTTTCTATGCTTAATATTAGTGAGGGTTGCAAAACTGGACTCTGAATAACTAGATATAACCTGAAATAGCACGTTAATTTTCATTGTTTTTGTCTCACTACTCTTACTCACTAAATAGAGTAACTTCCACTTCCTTAGATCATCTTTTTTGTAAAGAGGGTGGCTTCTGTTTTCTTCAATTCTAGTTTTTAATTTAAAAAGCTTTAGGATAATAATTTTTAAAGCACTTTAAAATTAGTCCCAGCTGTCACCTTGCACCTGTTTGAACTACATATGCATTTAATTCATCACGGTACATCCAAAATAATAGATATGCAATAAAACATAAAACCTAATACATTAAGGAGGCCATAAAGTGAATTAACCCAGCTATAAAGGCTTGACATGCAGTTACTTGGGATCATATTTGGATCAGTGGGTTTTCAAAGTCACAGGAAGTCTAAGCAAATTCCAATAGTCCTTTGAATGGGTTGGTGGTTCAGTGAATTTTAAATAGGTAATGAAAATAAGGTAGGTACAAAACAGTACCCAAAGAATAGTCAGAAATCAGTAAGCATTCCGAAGTATTTTACAGAAATTGTATAGAAAATTATCAAGAAATAATACTAAGGATATTTCAAAAGAACTTTCATTGCAAAAAAGAAAGTTCTCTATCTTAAGAGCAAAACTGGCCCCTTTGTGACCTTATTCTCCATTTTGAATCTTTGCAAAGTATATGCCTTTATTAGGAGAGGGCAATGGTTCCCCAGCATTTTCAAGCACAAGATGGCATCACTGAAGGACCTAGCAACTCTGCAGCTTTTGTCAGCAAAGTAGAGCATATCTTTTTTTTTTTTTTTCTGGTTAAAAATGTACTCAATTAACATGATCGTGTGGAAAACAATTCTAAAACATTTGTTCTCCAAATGATTGTCTTGGGTGCGTAATTTGGTTTTGGAATTTTTAAGTGCCTCTGAACTTTGTGTTAATCACTTCATTATGAGCCAGAACTTCAGTCATTAGAAATAAACTGCTGCTTTTAAAGGTACAAAATCCCACATATTTTTCATAGATGTGACCCAAGGTAGTCACCGCTCACTTGTTCAAATCCACACAAGTTAAGTCAGTCACTCTTGAATCAGGGCAATAGGTTTGCAAACACGGTTGTTCAGCAAGCTGTGGAATCTAATTATAAGAATTCAATGACATCATAAAGTCTGAATCTAATTTACCCTTCTCCAAAATTGCTGTTACGTTTATTTCAGTGCACCATGTGCCTGTTTAGTACAGTGCAAGGGAGGTTTGAAGATGACCTTGATGATTTGAAGAGTTGTGCTTTCCAATTTGTCTTTCTTTTGTGGCTCTGGAGCTTACATTTTATTTTAAAACTCTCATGGCTTTTCTGTAATTAACCACCGCCCTGCACATTGGTTCCAACATGTTCTTATATTCTCTTTCTTTCTCTCTCTCTCTGTCACGCGCGCGCACACACACACACACACACACACACACACACACACACACACACACACACACACGCGCGCGCGCGCGCGCGCGCGCGCGCACACACACACAGTATTTTTAGTTGATTATTTTCCAAGTATTAGAAAATGGATGGAAAATGGCTACATCAGGGTAATTGTATAACTTGAGAAAAATAATAGTTCCAGTTACAACATTGCAAGTATGAATTCTAATAATTTCAATGATAATTTAAATCAGAGGTGTCAAAGCTGTAGCCTGCAAGTGCATCCAGCTCACCAAGCCCTATCCTCCAGCCCACAGTGCTGCCTGTGGGTCATGGAGCAGCTTGACAATACAGCACACCCTAGCCGTGGCCCAGTGTAGGTGCGATGTGTAGCGGGTACACGGGGGTGCATGTGCAGCCCCTGAGAGTGCCAGTGCACCCCCCTGTCAAGCTGTGCTCTCTGTTTAGCCAGTGGCTAGGGGGCAGGCAGGAGCACCAGTGCCCCCCCCTTCAAACGCCGGCCAGGGAGCGGGGCCGCCAGCAAAAGTGGCTCTGCCATTTCTGGAAGTGGCCACTGGGGGACCCCCCTTCAGTCAGTGGGATCACGTGCCCCCCCGCCCAACTCAAGAGGCACCAGACACCCATGGCCCAGTGTGCTTAATGTGGTGCAGCTGGCATGGGCTACACATGGCTTAAGAGCTGAGGCCAAGGTGAGGACCTGGTCTGGGGCATATCATAGAAAATTAGGTTTGAAAGGGACCTCCAGAAGACATCTAGTCCAGTCCTCTGATCAAAGCAGGACCATCCACAACTAGATCATCCCAGCCAAAGTTTGTCTGGCTGGGTCTTAAAAACCTTCAAGGATGAAGATTCCACCACCTCTTTGGGCAATCTGTTCCAGGGCTTTACTACCCTCCTAGTAAGAAAATTCTTCTTAGTATCTAACCTGAATTTCCCTTGCTGCTTCGGATTTGGATTCAGCCTAGTTGGAGAACAGTGATTCGATTCGGTGATTCAAATCACTGTCTTGAATCGATTCAGCTGAATCTGATTTGGAGATTCAGCCGCTGCAAAATTGGCCAAATCTCCAAATCAAACAGGCCCCATCCCCTGCCTGCTCTCCCAGCGTGGCAATGGCTGCCCTGCCCGCCCCAGCTGCCGGCACTTGGGGAAGAAAAGCCCCTACTCACCAGGTGCTGCTGGGTGGGGGGGGGCAATCCCCACTGCCCCCCATTGCACCAAGCTGCGTGGGGGGCTCTGCATGAGCCCCTGACCCTTGCCTGCTGTCCCAGCATCCCCCCATGGTTGCCCGGCCTGCCCCAGCTCCAGTCCTTTAAGGGGAAAAAAAACAAGAAAACCCCCCAAACTCACTGGTTCCTGCCCGGCAGGGGGAGATCCCCACTGCCCCCCGCTTACCCCGTGCTGTGTGGAGGGTTCTGCACAAGCCCCCCAAAGCCCTAATGCCAATGCAGGAGCCAGCAAGCCCCGGGGTTTTTCTCAGTTTTTTTTTTCTTAAAGGGCCAGAGCTGGGGCAGGCAGGGCAGCCATGGGGTTGCTGGAGGAGCAAGGGAGGGTTAGGGGGGTCATGACAGAGCCCCTCATGCAGTGTGGAGTAGTGGGAGGCAGTGGAGATCATCCCCCCACCCAGCAGGACATGGTGAGTTGGGGGGGGGGGTTTAAAGCACCGGGAACTGGGGTGGG